CACCCCCCGCATAGAATGGGACAGTGCATAGTGGTACCCCAGGTTCTACAAATGATGACAGTAGTAGCAGTTATGACTCTGGGGAAGAAACCTAAGACCGAAGATGGGGATCAGGATGTAGACCTCCTATTCAGAGTGTGAAATCGATGCCGGATTGCCATTTCTGGAGGCGTACCCGTGAGGCAGCTTGGAGAGGCTGCCGGGGATGGAAAGCCATGTGCAGGGCTGGTGACAGGTCCCTGCGTGGCACTGATGGTTTGCTCTCAGGTACACGCCTGCCTTGTTGCCCGGTTGCCCAGTTGAAGAGACTGCGTTTTTCACAAATGGAAGAGGGTGGCAAGTCTGTTGGTGCGGTGCCATTCTCCCAACAGCAGGTGCTCGCGTCCTTCTCCATGTCCCGTCTTGGTAATTCTCACAGCACTTCATACGTTTCCATACCGCTCCTGCACACCGAATGGACGGCAGCGTGGTGTAAAACCTAACCTCCACATGCGCTGGGAAATCAGATGACTCGTGTCTGGCTTCACCGCAACATTCACTCTCATGGTGACGGTCTGGGATTGAGCCGCCATCTTTCCGAGGTGTCCGGTTGGAGCCCACTCCGCGGGGCGGTGGAAGAGAGGTGCGACAGGTAACTTCTCTGAAGTTACTGGCTGGAGCTGGCCACCCCCGTAACACATCGGGCTGCCAGGAGTCAGAATCGACGGCAAAGGGCTGGGGCGTCTGGGGCTGACAGCCAATAATAAACCAGCTCTCCATGAGCTAGTGGCATTGTGACACATACATTACAGGGTGACTTTTCACCTCAAGTCCATTCAGTCCTTTTAGGGTTAGGGGACCTTTTCGAGTTAGCTGCAGAATTCGGAGTGTTTGCAATGCAGCCAATGATGTCTCTGATCCCCAAAGTAGAGCCCCCCCCCTTGATGAGGGCTCCCTTTTCCTAGAACAACCAGCCACACGGCATCCGTGGATGGCCGCCGGCCTCCCCCGTGGCATCTTCAGTAGATAGAAATGCTGAGTGTGTCAGGACTGCTGGATTAGAGAGGAAGGCGCCCAAGTCACCCCAGGCTTTGTGCATTATAAAGTTGTACTTCAGTTGCCTTCCCTTAGATTCAGGGGTGGGCTGATCCCCATTCTTATTGCTAATTCAGGACCTGAACATACATCACTCATGGTCTTGCTTTTGCTTCCAAGGGACTTGGTGCTAAAGGAATCAGTTGTGGAAGGAGCCCCTTTCCAAATTTTCTTTGATCTGGAACTTGCCAGGCTCCACTCAGCGCTAGAATCTTCTGCTTAGGAGTTGATAAGCCTTCTCACTTTTTTTGGCTTTTTTTTTGGTGCCTTGACCTGGGTGTAAAAATGAACTTCTGAATGACAGGGCCACGGTGGCATTTTCTGCATGCTGTGACCATGGATGATTAACTAATGCAGGGTGTGACAATCTCCTAACGCAGTTTCTCAGAGGTTTTTTAGAGAGTCATGCTGGTATAGAGAGCTCCACTTCTCGACCTCTTCAAAACCAAGACTTGTCCTCGACCCCTCAGCACCTTCTAGATACCGTTTCGTTCTCTGTGGAGTCATGGCTTGTCTCCTTACTACTTCCTCTCTGCCCTCCACAGCCGTGGTGTCGGAAATGGTGAGCCCTCTCCTTCCCACCCAGCTGCAGACGGAGAGTGTGGTGAAGGGACTGGGCAGACTGTATTCAGACTGCTTGTTCCTTTTCACATGTTCTTGTGAAAGAAGAACTTTTCCATTGCTTTTCCATTGCTCCTTTCCCCAAAGATAACAAACGTCTAACACAGTGGTCGCTGGTGGAAGAACACTGGGACTTCCAGACCTCGCCGGCCCACTTGGGAGAGCTCGTATAGTTTGGGTCACACCTTGGGGTGTCAGTCCAGTCTAGAGTGAATGCACCTAATCTCCAGGTCTACCCACTCCCTCCAAGATCTGGCAACAGGCATGCTGACCGGGCTCTCCTGCACGCCTCGGACTTGTCCGGGCCCACGGCTGCCTTTGGGAGTTAGCGGACTGTTCTTCCTGCGGGCCGAGAACTGCTTGTCATCCCTGCTAGGCTCTGTCCAGCATCAGTTTTGTTGAAAACTGGCTCGTGTTTCAAACCACTCAGCTCTCCCAGTCTGAGCCACACACTGGGGAATACAGGCTTGTTTTATTTATAATCTGGCCGTACTCCTGGCGGAATCCTTGATCCCAGTAGACGTGGCTGGTTCCTCTGGGCTTGAGCAGGCTTCGTTCGTGGGTTCCAGGGCTTGGCAGACAGGATGAAAAGTGACAGGAACACCAGGTCGCAGAGCAGAGTGGAATTCTGCAGCAGGAGCATCACCTGCTTCTCAACATTCCTTAACTGGCCAACTCGCTCTCTGGCGGCTGACCTTCTTTACATTGGGGTCCAGCTGTCTCCTCTTGACCCACATACAGTACATGAGTCAAGCGCTTCTGCTGAGGCGCATCCCGATGCGGGTTCCTGTTAGCCTTTTCCAAGAGATCTCGCTGTCCAATTTGCCCCCACGTGGCTTCTGTCGCACCCTCTGGTGTGTAGGAGTCATTTGCAGGAGCATTCTGCTCAGTTTTGGATCGTCCCCTCTCAGTCAGTATCTTGCTTGTTCTCGGGTGGAGGGCTGCGAGCCAACAGAAGCAGCAAGACGGCTGCTCCTCCTCGCAGCCAGAGCAGCGGCGCTCTCCCGTGCTTGCACGCATCCGGTCAGGAATCCTCCCAGCCACTGCTCGCCTTCCTTGACCTGTGGTGGCGCGGGCCGGGGAAACAGGTGCTTGCTTGGCGGCACTTCGCCAGCACATCAAGCAGCCACTGCCGGCAGGACCGTAGAGCTTGAGCTTAGGAGGTGCACAGATGGCGCCATCTCCATCAAGTTGGCACTGGTGCCTGCAAATCTGGCCATTTTGCAACGATCGGCCCTAATGGAATGAAGAAGAGGCCTGGCTGAGACCTGTGTACTACCCGGCAAGTGTTCTTCCCATTTAATATTGATGGCTGGGTGATTGGGGGCCTTCCTGCCCTGGAGGCCCTGAGCCGCCTCCCCTTCCTGGTCCCTGTGCTTTCTTCCAGTCTGCTGCTAGTAATCTGGATGAGCGTCCGGGAGGGGCCACCTTTTAGCTCATCTTACTGAGAGGATGATTCCTGCTTCCATAGTACCTGTGTCTCAGCCCCTGTGAAGCAGCAGCAGCAGTCGGATCCTACCTATTTCAAACTTTTAAGTTTCTACTTTAAACGTATTAAAAGCAAAAAGAACTTTCATCCAAGAGATGAATGAGTTAAGGCCCAGACTTAAGCTATTAACCTCTGAGAAATCCTCCTCTCGGCAATCAGGAGCCACCTTCATAGACGTCATCAGCCACGGCCTTGGTTTTATGGAGACGCCACATGCAGCCAGCCTGCTCCTCCTGTGAAGAGTCATGACCTCGGAAACCCGCGGGGCAGTGTACCCTGCCCTATAGGGTCACCATGAATCTGAATTGACTCAGTGGTAGTGAGTGTGGTTTTACACGCTTGTTATTAGCGTATAAGCTCGAGCTTACAGCTGATTTCCCAATTCAGTTATCATAGAAAGATCCTGTGCTCTTCAAAGAATTGATCGTGTGAACCATTCAGGAGAAATGGTTGTGTAAGGCCCTCATAAAGAAGCCCGGGGAAAGAAATTTGACAACCATTCTCCAGGGATCCATTTAAGTATTCTTTCAAGACAACATCAAAACAACGGCAATAGAACTGTGTAAGTTTAGGGGCCCCGGATTAATCTGTCGACCTACTACAGACCGGCCCCCACCCAGCCAAATTGAGTGAGAACTTTTTCCTGAATGATTCATGGAAAAAGCTTCTTTCCTAACTGCATGGTGTCAAAGTTTCCTAGAGGTTTGGGAATAGTTGTCTGAAAGGTGTACTACCAGATTTCAAAACTAATAAACCTCCCTTCCCTAGTTTAAAAGACTCTGGGCAGGAAATCTTCAGCCTTTCCTCCACGGCCCTCTGCAGTGTAGCGCTGCGTGTGTCCATGTTTCAGAGATGGAAAATGACTGCACGGTGACCCCCAATCCATTCTGAAGTAGGTTAAATGGTAATGAGTGAGCTGGGACCATAATTCTGACCTTCGGATGCTCTCAGCACAGCCTTGGGAGCGACAAGGAGCGGCGTGTGAAATGCCTGTGTCCTAGACTCAGGCAAGTGCTCTGCTGTCTCTAGTGGCCCCAGTCTCCGTGGGTGGCCCATTCAGTAAGAAAGCGTAGGCTCTACCCTCTTCCTTTGGCTTCTCTATCGTCCAACCTTTGGCTCTTTCTTGCCCTTGATATCTTCTTCACGATATCCTCATGAGAGGATAGTAACCTTCTTATTTGTTTATTCTTCCAATACAAATGTGTGCCACATCCTATTCTGGCCACAGCATCCATCGCTGCTGCTGGATTCAGATTGACATCACTGGACAGTTCTAGTTAATGACTTGCAAGTTGCAGCAAAAGAAGAGGCATCTCCATATTGCCCCTTAGATGATCGCCATACCAAGTCTGCAGTGTTACCCCATCAAATCCCTTTTGAGGTAGGCAGCATATGCGTAAGAACGATAGCTATGAGTATCGATCTGCCTATGAGCCGGATGCTTTATTCATCAGCTTACTTGATAAAAATTGATCATGTCAATTTCTTTTTACAGATTCATCACCTGAGGCTAACATTTAAATCATTGGTGGTGTGCTAAGTACCCAGGGAAGTGCTTTACACACTCACACTTAATACTCACAACCCCAGCGACAGTCAACCATCCTTAGCCCCGATTTCAAGATGGCAGGAACGGAGGCTCCAGGAGGGTCAGTGCCCTGCTCAGGCACACAGTCAGTGATCGACCGTGCTAAAACTTTCCAGTGATCCACCCAACGTCCGCCTTTTAAAATACGAGAAAATAATCACAAAAGGAAATAAATAAGTACTACAAAGGAAAATAGAGTGCTATCAAGACACTCATCATAATGAGGGGCAGTTGACATGTCAGGGAAAGCTTTGTGGGAGCATCTGTATTGAAGGTAACACCTCAAAAGTGAGGAGGCAGGAGGATGACCTGCAAGGGAGCATTCCAAACTGACCTAGTCGCTTGTGGGAAAGCCCTGCTGCAAGACCTCAGCTCCCCCGAGGGGCCCGGAAGCAGTTAGCGCAGAAAACTACACCCAAGAGGAAAGGAGACGGGCTGGTAAAAAAAAAAAAATCATTGACTTAAAAGATAAGACTAATCATAACAATGACTGACAATTCATAAAAACGACTGACTGAAAATTACTACTGCTGTTGGCCATTGTTCCTCTCCTCACGGTACCCAAAGATGAATCGGCCATTTGTCAAGGTGCTGCTTGGGAAAGGCGTAGAAGAAACCTTAAGTAGCTAAGAGGGAGGCCGGGGGAGGTGGGGAGGTGTATGAGGTGGCGCTGATTCTGGGGGTTCTATCTCCTCAGGCCTGAAGACAATTGTGGGTGCCCTGATTCAGTCTGTGAAGAAGCTGTCCGACGTGATGATCCTGACAGTGTTCTGCCTGAGCGTGTTTGCCTTGATCGGACTGCAGCTCTTCATGGGGAACCTGCGAAACAAGTGTGTTGTGTGGCCCATCAACTTCAACGAGAGCTATCTGGAAAATGGCACCAAAGGCTTTGATTGGGAGGAGTACATCAACAATAACAGTAGGTGGCCCTTTCTCTACAAGAGGAAAAAGGCAGGCCTGCCCCTAGTTTACATGGTCAAACACCGCCACTGGGCTTAGTTGGGGCCAGACAGGAACGTAGGGTTAGTAGCCCTGCAAGTTTATTCTCTTTCCTTGAGGTAGGATTGTGTTCAAAGCCTTCAAGGACTCCCTTCTCCTCACCCTCTCTTTTTTCTCTCCCTTTGCCCCTGCCCCCCCCCCCATCCCCACCCCCCCAAAAAAGAGTTGCTTCTTTACATGACTCCCTAAGTTTTTGCTTTGAAATTCAGGCTCAGGAATGTGATAAAACTCCTTTCCCTAAGCTGGAGTGTCTGGGATATTTACACATTTAGTCCAGAAGATAGCTAGTGAGGAAGAACACACTCGACATATCTTAAACTGAAAGAACTCAAGACAAACTCCAAGCTTTGAGCTGCAATATTAAAAGATTCTATGGGGAAAAATACTGACTGATGCAGGCAGCATCAAGAGAAGATAGAAAGCATACAGAGTCACTGTACCAAAAAGGACTGGTCAGCCGCCCACCGTGTCAGGAGGTAGCATATGAACAAGAGCCAATGGTGCTGAAGGAAGAAGTTCAAGTTGCACTGAAAGCATTATCCAAAAACAAGGCACAGGAATTGATGGAATTCCCATCGAAGTGTTTCCGTGAGCTGACGAAGCACTGGAAGCACTCTATTTCTCTATGCCAGGAAATCTGGAGGACCGTTCCTTGGCCGACTGACTGAAAGAGATCCATATTTGTACCTATTCCAAAGAAAGGTGACCCAACAGAATGCTCAAACTATAGCATAATGTCATTAATGTCACACACAAGTAAGATTTTCCGAAAATCATCCAACAATGGTTGCAGCAGGACATTGACAGGGCGCTGCCTGAGGTTCGGGCCCAGTTCAGAAGAGGACGTGAAACCAGGGAGTTTTTTTCATTGCTGACATGAGATGGATCTTGGCGGAATGCAGAGAATACCAGGAAGATGTTTCCTTTTGTTTATTCACTCTGCCAAGGTATCCGATGGTGCGTGGGTCATAACAAACTATGGATTCCCTTAAGAAGAATGGGAATTCCAGAACACCTAATTGCACTCACGTGGAGCCTGTACACGGATCAGGAGGCACTTGTGGGAACAGAACGGGGGAATACTGCATGGTTTGAAATCAGGAAAGGTGTGCATCAGGGTTGTATCTTCTCACCACACTTATTCAATCTGTGTGTGGGGCAAATAATTAAAGATGATGGATTCTATGAAAAAGAAAGCCACATCAGGATAGGAGGAAGGTTTATTAATAACCTGCAATGTGCAGATGACACAACTTTGCCTGCTGAAAGTGAGGAGAACTTGAAGCACTTGCTGATGAAGATCAAGGGTGGCAGCTTTCGATGTGGATTACAACTTAATGTAAAGAGAACAAAAATCCCCACAACTGAACCCATAGGTAACATCATGATGAATGGAGCAAAGGTTGAAGTTGTCAAGAATTTCATCTTGATTGAATCCACAATCAATGCTAATGGAAGCAGTAGCCAAGAGATCAAACCACGCATTGCACTCGATACTCATTGCTACACAAGAAAGGCCTCTTTCAAGTGTTGAAAAGTAAGGAGGTTGCTTTGAGGACTAAGGCGTGCCTGACCCAAGCCATGGCATTTTCCATTGCCTCGTATGCACGTGAAACTTGGACATTGAATAAGACCAAAGAAGAATCCGTGTATTTGAATTAGGGTGCTAACGAAGACTATTGAAAGTACCACGGACTGCCAAAAGAGCCAACGAATTTGTCGGGAAAGGAGGCCAGCCAGGGTGCTCCTTAGAAGCAAGCTTGTGGAGACCTCAGCTCACATACGTTGGCTGTGTGGTCAGGAGACCAGTCCCTGGAGAAGGACATCATGCTTGGCAAAGTAAAGAGGCGGTGAAAGAGAAGGTCCTTGGTAAGATAGGCTGACACAGAGGCTGCCGCAATGGGCTCGACAGATGCGCAATGGTGAGGATGGCCCCGGACCAGGCAGCATTCCGCTGTGCTGTGCGCAGGCTCACTATGAGTCGGGACCTGACAGCAACACCCTGCCTAATGACACCATGCTTTGTTACTCCTACCAGGACTTTAGTCTTTGATCTTGTCTAGGGATCAGGCACAATTGGTCTTGAGGAGTTTTAATACCTTCATTTTAAGAACCGAAGCTTTGGGGTCTTATGGAAAGGAAAGTTTGGTGCATTAGTACTTCTGTAAGTTAACTTTAAAAGTTAATAATACCACTATCAGTCACTCCTGCAGAAATACAGGCAGTTCAGTAGCCCAAAGGAAAATATTTCAGAGGGGATCTCAGGAACGCATACAGGAAGAGAAGACATCTCTCCTAGTTCAAAACAGGACATGGTAACCAGCGACCATTGAGGATTTTTAGAATCTTTCTGATAGAGAAGTTTATAAGGTTAGCAGGATGGAGTTGTAGAAAGGAGTGAAAAATTCAGATAACTCACTTTCTGCTCCCTTGGAGACAAATACCAGAGCCTCGCATGACAACGTGAAGTAGAAGTTCAGGTATCTCTGGCTGCATCCAGGGACTTAGGGTCACTCCTTTGCAATGTAAATCTCTGCAGGAAAATCAATCATGAGAAAACTTTTCAGGTTTCACTGTAGTCAGAAAAGATTGTGTGAGGTGAAACCAGGAACTCTTTTCTGCTGGGGCTAATTAGGAACTGTAGAATCAGATTCTCTCATTGACTTTACTTTATTCAAACTTTTCTAGCCAATTTTTACACAGTTCCTGGCATGCTAGAACCTTTACTCTGTGGGAACAGTTCGGATGCTGGGTAAGTCACTCACCTAATTTTGTTCTCCTCCCAATTTTATTTGCATAAAAATTAGCAATTTTTTTCTACTCTCCTTGTTTTTGTGTACAGGTAGCAGACCCTAATTGGGCCTTACCTACAGGTTGACCCCGATATTCTGTTTGTTTCTTATTTGTCCACTTATATTTGACATTTCGCTACTTGAGGAGTATGCCGACATTCTGAGACCAAAATCAAAAATGTAAAAGACTGGATTCTATGTATAGAATTCATAACACCCGCTCTCTTGCCTGCTTCATGTTCAATATCTGCATTCTGCAATTAACAGGAATATCGGCTACTCTCTTGTTGATAGCTTAGTGCCTGAGAAAGATCCAAATTATGCCAGTCCTGCCAGCACAGGGGAAGGAAAGAGTAACAGCGTACCATTCCAACCCTTTGGCAAGCCACTTAACTTACCTGCACCTCAATTTCTTCATCGATCAGTGGATCTAATAGCTCATGCTCTGTCTTTCGAACAGAGTTGTTGTAAGAAGCCAACTGGAGAACATACATGAGAGTCCTTTGTCACCAGAATGCTACAAATTGTGGTGGTTTCATTGCCCATAGTGTGTTGGCCCTTTAGGAATTGGTATTTTAAGTCAGCCATGACAATGAGAGGTCTGCTTGATTTCTTTATTGCTTATATACTAGAAATTGCACTGCATTAATATCAAGTGATATTATTCCACTGCATGTGCATAATGTATTTTGATAAAAGCCAGTAGTGAAGTATTATCACCAAGGTCATTGAAGTCTCCAGGATGACCAAGTTGTCACAGTGAGTATCAAGACAACAGACAGAACAGAAGGTGCTAGCCATTTGTCCTCTGTGATAGTAGCTAAACTGAATTGAACATTGATGGGAATTTAGGACGGTGGTTCTGAAACTTTGCCATGCAGAAGAATCACCTGGCATGCCCCTTAAACATCCAGATCTGTAGATTCCACCACCAGAGCTTTTAATTCCTGGGCCTTGGGTAAGACACAGGCACATGCATTATTAAGGAGCATGTCAGATTATTTTGATCCTATGCTGTCCCAGGACATCATTAAAAAAAAAAAAAAAATCCGCCTATTTCCTTCTTCCAATGTGTTGGTTATTGAGTATCTCCAAGGTCATGGAGGTGGCCTGCAGCTGATAACTGGGTGGACGTAGTTGGGAAGCACTGACTGCCCTTTCTCGCTTCAGACAATGCCCAGAGGGATACCAGTGTATGAAGGCAGGAAGGAACCCCAACTACGGTTACACAAGCTTTGACACCTTCAGCTGGGCTTTCTTGGCACTGTTTCGCCTTATGACCCAGGACTATTGGGAAAACCTGTATCAACTGGTGAGTAAGACTTTCTCTGTTTGTTCTGTGATAGGGTCCGCGTGAGTGTACGTGGAGTTAGGGTCATTCTGTGTCAGAGACTGTTGTATGAGACCTGAGAATGGCTCTCCTCCACCTGTTTACATCTGTCTTTTTATGTCAATCTCATTGCAAACAATGATAAAAATGGTCTCGCAAAATGGGAATTTCGTGTGGTTAGGACTTGACCCTGAAGTTGAAATTTGTCTGTTAATGTTCTTGATTGGAGGCTAGCAGATAAATGGCATAATGTCATATAGTCTTCTCTTTTCTCATATAAACATATGTAACGAAACATTTCCCATTTCAACATTTATACATGTACAGTTCAGGGGCATTGTTATGTTATTATATCGTCCAAGCGTTGCCATGGTCTGGTTCCATCTTTTTCTGTCACCCTTAGCGCTCAGTGTCCCCTAAGCGTCTACTCTCCCTTGCCATCCCCCATCTGCCCCTTGTAACCACTTAGATCGCTATACACTTGACTGGTGTAGACTTTGATATTAAGGGGCTCATACGGTATTTTTCCTTCATGGCTGACATGTCATTAGTGTGATGTTCTCAGGGTCATTTCTCGTTGTGACTGGTGCTATTCCACGGCACGTGTGTATCGCCTTTTGTTCATCCACTCATTGGCATATGTATTAGTCTAGGTACTTTGGAGAAACAAATCCACAGCAACTCATGTATAAGAGAGAGTTTTATGCAAAGAAAATGTGCATCACGAAAACCCAATGCTGCCCAAGCCCACAAGTCCAACATTAACCCATACCCAACACCAGTCCACAAAGTCCTTCACCTCACAAAACAGAGGCAATAATGCTGACTGCAGGAGGAAAGCTGAGTCAGTGAATGTGTAAGCATCTCAGCACTGGCAGGGGTCTCCACATGGCTGCTCCAGCACCCAGGGCTGCTTCGGGATAGATCCATGCGGCTTCTCCTTGGGGATGTCTTGTAGGAAATCCATCTTGCAAGCTGAAGCAGGGAACTGCTAAGGCAGCTGCACCCGATGCAACCATCACAAAACAAGAGACCCGAGAACTAGAAAGGCGAGGCTTCACCACCCATTTATCCCTCCGCCTTTCAACCAGCACCACATGTGATTATCGGCCAGGCTGGCACAATTAACTAACTCAGCGTACAAATACCTGTTTATATCCCTGCTTTCAATTCTTTGGCTGTCTACCCAGGAGTGGAGTTGGTAGACCACATGGTAATTCTGTTTAACTTTCTGAGGAACCACTAAACTGGTGGCTACACCATTTATTATTATCAGTGGATGAAGGTTTCAATTTATACATATCCTCATCAATGTCTGTTATTTTCTGGGTTTTTGGATTTATTTTGGTTTTTTGTTGTTGTTTTAATCATAACTGTTTTAGTGGCTATGAAATTATATCTCAGTGTGGTTTGATTTGCATTTCCCTAATGACTAACAGAGAGATTCTCTGCAGATGGTTACACATTGGGCTGCTAACCATAAGGTTGGGAGTTCTAAACCACCAACCGCTCTGCCAGGGAAAGAGGAGACTTTCTACTCTGATAAAGCGTTACAGCCTCAGAAACCCGCAGTAGCAGATCTGCCCTATCCTATAGGTCGCTATGAGTTGAACTGACGCTGTGGCAGTGAGTTTTTGAGCTTGGAATGACGAATAACATTGAGCATCCTTTCGTGCGTCTGCTGCCTGTTTATAGTTCTTCTGTAATGAAATGGCAATTCAAGCCTTCTGTCAGTTTTTTACTCTTTTCTTTGCATTGGCCTTAGAACCATCTAAAAACATCAAATAAAATTCTTAACCCAGAGTTTTCTGTCACAAGACTGTCTAGGGAGTCTGGGAAATTCTACTAACCCGTGGTGTGCAGTGGAGGTAGGCCGTTCAGCGACGAGTGCTGCTAGCCGCTCGGCAGTTGGAAGGACACCGAAGGACTGGGCCCCGCACAATGCCAGGAATGCCCTCGCAAAAGAGCATTAGCCCACGAATGGTTTCCAACCTGGTCTGTTCGCTCCAGGTGACTCCGAAAATGGTCTTTGTCTTTCCAGACCTTACGAGCGGCTGGGAAGACATACATGATCTTCTTTGTTTTGGTCATCTTTGTGGGCTCGTTCTACCTGGTGAACCTGATCTTGGCTGTGGTGGCCATGGCGTATGAAGAACAGAATCAGGCAACGCTGGAGGAGGCCGAGCAAAAGGAGGCCGAGTTCAAAGCCATGTTGGAGCAACTTAAGAAACAACAGGAAGAAGCACAGGTTAGTGAGCAGCCTGAAACCGGCCTTGCTGTCAGAGTGAGGACTGAGGTCCCGGCCAGTTGCCGGTCCACGCGGCCTTTCCTAGGCACACTGTCAAATCGGGGGCATTTCCTGATTGCAGGAGGCTGGTGTAATTATTCCATTGTGTTCATGGCCTAATTGTGTGATGATACAATCTTTCTTTATAACTTTCTCGGCTGTTCAGTATTCAACTGTGTTAATGGCTGGAGAGAGAAAACGTGGCCAGAGGAATGTATATGCCACTTGAGGGACGCATAGCCTTTTGATGAGGAAAATGTCAGGAGCCTCTTCAGAGGTTCTGTGATCGTAAACGTATTGGTTCTCATTGAAAAGACACACACAGCAGTAAAGTAAGATTTGGGAAACAAATTTGTGGTTCCCCCAACTCTAATAATTTACTTTCCAATCTTGT